TCTCATAGCTTAAACATCGAAACTGTAATTTTTGTGAAAGGCTCATATTGACTTTTTATTGACCGGTCAATCTTTTGTTCTCCAGTAAAAAGCGGCAGAGCGACAGCGTTGTCTATAATTATTAACTCACATCATTGTCATTTGATTTGCTGATCTATTCAACATTTTATCACTGGATTTTAAAAGAAGTACATGCAGTATTTTTCTGTATATTTTTCATTAGTCCTCCGTCTTTACAAATTCATGTCGTGCTGCTTTTTCCAAACAGACAGAACTTTATTTCTATTCTATTCTAATTTCTACTGTTTCACTTCATTTCACTTTTCGCTCAGTTTATTCGATAGAAATCTGACATTTATGGTGTTGAGACAAGTTTATACAATTTGCTGCAGATAATCAGAGTCTCTCTTTTTCCTTTTATTTTTCAATTACAAGAGCGAGACAGACGTTTGCCCTTGGCGGAGGTTCGTGTTCTACTGAGCGCTCTAGTTTAGACTTTTAGGATTTTTGAAAAGATGTGAAATAATCTGAATGTGTTAATATTCTACCTCAATACAAATTCCACAGTTATTTTTTATAACAAATGTAAATAATTCTCACTTGTTTTAAGTCAAGTACAGACACTTAAACTGTTTTAAAATTAGGTTGAGTCTTTCTGCTGCTCTGATCATTTTTATTATATTATTCTTATGCAGAAATATCTTCATGAGATTCTCACGATTTATCCTCTGAACAACTTAACCAGTGATAAGACTTTGAGTAGGTCAGCGTTTTAGTGCACGTTAGTGGACTTGTAATAAGAGTACATATATATTATTAGATATATTTCTAAATTATTGTATTGATACTTCGACATATCAACTGTACATGTTCGTAACAAATCATCACCAGCTTCCTTTCTGCTGATGGAAACAGAGAGAGAGAAATTAAGAGACTCACCCTCCTCTTCCTCCTCCTCCTCCTCCTCCTCCTCCTCCTCCGTCCTCCTGCAGCCAGTCAATTGGTCGGTGTCGATGTTGGAAACAGCAGGACGGAGGCTCGGGGTCCCTCGCCCTGACCTTGACTGCTGCCTCGCGGCAAGCGTGGGCCACCACGACCCCACCAGAGGCAGACCAGTCTGAGAGAAAACGCCTCTAGGAGGTCAAAGGTCGCCCCTTGGCAGCTTCACCTCCTCGCTGGCTGAGCCTCGTTAGCACTCTTCCTCAACACACACACACACATGCCTCCTCAGCAGACCGAGCTCTGGCATCAGTCCGCCGCTGCCCTGCTGGAGGGGAGGAAGACCGAGCAAACTGTAAAGAAACTTAACAAACCAGACATTAGAAACATCCTGCTCACATTTCACTCAGAGGTTTTGTCAATTTTTAGACCAACGGTGTCTAAAATAAACCGGAATGTTCTGCTGGGGTTGAAGAACTCTCTGACACCTCAAACCGTCTGACACAGAGCGGGGGATGTTCGCTAAAGTGCTCGCAGTGATGATGGGGAAGGAAGAAAACTTCATGCAGACATTCAGTTTGACAGACAATAAACCCCGGCCGCAGAAATGTTGTAGTCAAGTCACTAACGTCCCAGTCCTGCAAAGTTAGAGATTGAATCTGTGTCATGGTAACGTTGAGTCATGTCAGAGCTGCTGTGGTCAATCGTTGGGTTTGACAAGATAACGAGTCCCTGAGATCACAGCGAAGTTTATGTCCAAGTCACTGAAGTCACGAGCGGAGATTTCTGAAAGCGTGTAATGATATTTCCGAGAGGTCTTCTCTGGGTTATCAGGTCATGTTAAAGAGGCAAAGCTCACGTGTTAGTGAGGCTGTTTCTAAGTCACTGTTGATATCCAAGTCGCTGAAGCCACTGATTTCAGTCCAGAGTTGCTCAGGTCATGTCAGAGTCGTGTCTAAACCATGTATGATGCCAAGAGCCTGTACGAGATCATCATGTCGATGTTTAACAAAAGTCATCGTGTCTTGAGTTTTCAAGTCCACAAGTTAATTCGTCAAGTTGCACAGTTCTCGTCTGAAGTCGTCAAGTTCATGTTTTGAGTTTTGGAGGTTGTGTCTGTGTCGACGAGCTCATGTCCGAGTCTCTGAGGTCGTATCTGGAGAGGACAGGCTTCTGTCTGAGGACGTTATACTCTGAAGAACAAGACACTGAAGATGTACATCCTTTTTTTCATTGCACATCTGGCATCGAGGCCGTAGCTTGTGAGCCCAGTTCCTGCTCTCCTCTCCCGACGCTTATCGTGAGATGATTTCCTCATCGAGTCACGAAACTGTGTCTACTGGTTCTTCCTTTCTGATCCGCCATCAAGGAGAAGCAGGGCTCAGCACGCCGTCGATGGAGGAGGCACAGAAGGAGTCGCAATCAAAGATGGCAAGAAGAACAAAGTGGCATCTGTTTCCATGACAGCTGTCTACATCCAGCTCTGAAACCAGCTCCCCCAACTCCGTCGCTACCAACACGCCGTTTGATTTATTTTAAAAAAAAAGCTGTGTTTCTTAGAGGTTTGTCAATTTTCAGTAAAGGTTCTGTTTTTCTAGAGGAGGGTAATGGCTCAAAGACCCCTCTGTTCTGTTCAATAAGGATTGTCATTTCTTATTTTTCACCAACCCCCACAGCAACTGCTTGGTTTTGTTCTCCCGAGCTGAAGATGTGTTAATCGGTGAAATTAGAAAGTAACTGGAGGTCAGAGAGAATAAAGAACCTGCCAACTTTCTGCTTTGTTAAAAAAAAAAAAACGGACTTATCTTTAGAACACAATCTCAGACTTCTACTGTCGACTCTTTCTGCTTTAAACAATTACGATGAGTTCAGATAATTTCCAAACCAAATAACAAAACTTACCACACAACTGTTAAAACTGAAAAAAACATTTTAATTTGGATGACTTGACCCTTAAAGCCTCAATTAACAAGCACACGGACAAAACAATCATCTCCGAACCCTTGATGGATAAAGTTTGCAACAACAAAGTCTTAATTCTACAGTTTTTTTTCCCGTCAGTCAGGTCAGTGAACGCACCACAGGTCTCACTCAGACCTCTTCACAGACTGATCAATCCTTTCTTTATTTCAGTGCTTCATTATCTCGTCTCCCTGCTGATTTACATCGTGGACAGAAACGTATGAATCAATCTGTGCCCTCGTGGAAAGTTTGGCTTGCTCCGCACCCTGAAGCCATCTGTGTATTTACAAAGTTCCACTCCAAAATGAGATTTTCAGCATTTGGAAATTGTGACGCCTACTCTGATGTGGAAACATAAAAAAAAATCAAATATTGGCATGAAAGTAAAACTCATTATGGAAATACATTGAACTTATTGACTATTCATGAAATATGCCTGCAATCGAGGAGACAGTTTCCAGGATGGTGTCTGAGTTTGTGAAACAGAGGTGAAGTTTGTTACTCTCTTAATGAGTTTGAATCATTCAGTAATTACTTCTTCTGGATGAATTTAATTACAGTCAGTCTCCGTAATGTGAAACAGCCTCAGTCACATTCTATATTTTTCTAACTCATC